AGACTTATTAATTGTTATGAAAGATAATTAGTATTTTTTATTTTCTTTTAAAGGAGTATAATTATTATATATTGGTTGAAGTGTTCAACTATTAATTATTATGTGTTGTTAATTTTTTAATTTTCCAATGAAGGAATTTTATTTTGGTTATGTTGCAACTTTATTTCATATAAATTTTCACTTCCTTACTTGAAAAGGTAATAAAACTTGTGTTAGTAGTTGTTATGTATAATATAAGTAAATTTTTATGTTAAGGAAAATATTAAAGTGCTAATTATTATTGATAATAATAAAAAGAAAAAAAAATAGTTTTTCAATCTTTCAAGTCCAACAATGTTTACATAATATTTAAGATTTTTTTTATACACAAAATTCCGATAGACCAATCTATTATTGTTCCACTCCTAATTAAATAGTATGAATCAAGAGTGTCAACTTGTACTTATCACAATCAATTAGTGCGTATCAACTTATTATTATTTTAATTAAATATTAAAATATGATGAATTGACTTGTTTTGTCATTTTGGATATAAATCTATGTCCTTAAACTTTTTTTTTTGTATTTTTTTATATCTAAAAGTTAATTGTGTAATTTTGTAAATTTCGTCTCTAATTTTTTTTGGGGGTAAATTTTGATCTCTAATTTATAAAATATGTTGCATTTCTTTTCCGAACATGAAGTCTCCATTAAATTTCAAGTAGCGAACATTTTCTAGCAAATTTTAATCACAAATAAACACAAATTTGAAAATAATTTATTTTATTCAAGCTTTATTTTTATGTTGATTTATTTTTCTTTGAAGCAGAGAGGTTCAAAACTTAACAACAATGATGGTTCAAAAAGTCATTGTATTAAAAATATTTTTAAATACAACTATTTACAGCGGTATCAAAATGTCAGAAATATTCACGTCGTTTAAAATTTGACAAAGACTCAATGGTAGGATAAAATTTGTAATATTAATTACAGGATTAATATAACAATAAATTTACTCATTTCTTGAAAAAAAAATAATTTTAATTTTATAAATTAAATTTAATATTATTTTAAAAAAATCAATAATAATCCTCTCTATATATATCCATGTTTTTTAAAATTGTTTCACAAACAAAGTTATTAAACTTTTAGCTTATGTACTTTAACTAATATTTTATATTTTTATAATAATAATAATAATTATTATTATTATTATATAAAAAAATACCTATTACATTTGAGCCTAGCTAAAATATATTAGTTAAATTAAGCATTATTATATTGTTAATGGTGATGAGGAGTTTATATAGAATGGTCTATGTTACTGGGACTTGCCGTCATTGCTTTAGGATTCACGTATTCGCCCCCTCTCTGCTATGGGGTAAGAAAATGCAAGAACCTTTCAAGAAAGAAAAAAAAGAGAGAAAGAGATTCTAACTTGAGAGAGTTGTAACAGAAGAAGAAAAAGATTCCAACATTATCAGTAAGACAGTGCTACATTAGGTCTTGTTAGTTAGACCAGATTATCTTTTACTTGTATTTATATATGTATATGCTTAGAGGTAACTTTCAGTTTTTAGGTGAGAATACATGCAAATTACAACACAGTCCTATCTTTTCTTCTATAACTCTCAAGATTTATCAACTTAGAATCTCTTTCTCTCTTTTCTTTCTTTCTTGAAATCGGTTCTTGCTTCTTCTCATCCATGGAAGAAGGACCAATTGTTAATCATGCCGGTGATCCTACAAGTCCGTACTACATTCATCCTAACGACAATCATGGAGATATATTGGTCTCACATATCTTAGTTGGCGATAACTATCATGCTTGGTCTAGGGCTATGATTTTTGCCTTGAAGACCAAAAACAAATTGCAGTTCATCAATGGAACCTTAAGCAAACCCCACCCAAATGGTGCCCTTATTGCTCTATGGAGAAGGTGCGATGCTCTCATTCTTTCATGGATATCCAACTCTCTTCATAAACACTTTCTTCTGAATAATGTCCTATGGCAAGTGACTTCATCGGAACTGTGGAAGTACCTTAAAGATAGATATTATCAAGGTGATCGATCTTTTTCGTATATGCATGCATGCATGTGATTTACTAGAAAAATGTATTGAATTCTTTTATAGGAAAGGGAATTTTTCTATCATATATTCCTTCTCTTACATGCCAAGTTCAGTTTTATTCTTTTTGTTGTGACAATCATCTTCATAATATATACAACATGTAATAATAGTTGCCGTCTTCACAGCTAAAGGTTGGCGTTGTAAGGTTTGTCCTCAATATGACTTGTGCAATGCTTGTTATCAAAAGGAATTAGATGGCACTGAGCTTCCTTCAGTGCCAGATCCCGAAGCTCAAAACAAGGAAGTAATGCGACGTTTAGAATTTCAGGTTTCAATGTCATGCTTATATATATATATATATATATCATCACTTGGTTATATTGCATTTCAAATAAACAAGTCAGAGAAATCTAAAAGAGTTTTTCAGAATTTATCTAAAAAAATACATAATTCTTAAAAACTCTTTTTAAGACTACAAGCATGTGTTATTATTTCATTGGAATAATACTTCAATTGCTTACTAATCAATTATTTATAGTTACATGATTTTGACTAGCATGCAGTATCATTTTATGAGTGTTCTTATAGTGGTGATTTATAAGGTCTGATGATGTAAATGGATTTCATAATTTACAGTCAGCGGAATTTCATGATCTTATAGTTGTCCATGCAACCCATTGTCGTTCTAGACATTGCCAATATCCAAATTGTGGGAGGGTGAAGGGGATTTTCTATCATGGGAGGCATTGCACAGCACGTTATCATGGAGGTTGTGCTATATGCAGGAAAATGTGGTATTTGATTCAAATCCATGGTCGTGACTTCTGCAAGGTATCTGAATGCGGTGTACCAGTTTGCAGGTTTGTGACTCGGGATTAGCAATTACGCAAGTCGCTGTTTATATATATTTTGCTTGTATAATTAACATTTTTCTTTTGGATTAAATCAGAGGTTTCAAAGAATTCTTGAGGAAAAAAGCTGCAGAAGTTGCCAACAGTTCTGGAAGTGGATGAGTGTTTTTGGACATGTACGTAGATAGGATATTTTGGGAAAAAAAAATGCTCATGACAAATTATTTCTGCTTGCTTGTCAAGTCGCAATTTTGTTGTCTTCCCCGTTTAAGATTGAAACTTGATGAAATTAATTCGTAGTTACAGAAATTCGTTCTCTTCTGAAATTAAGGGTTTGGGAATGATTTCATGTCACCAATAATAATATCTATATATATTATAAAGAGAATATCCTATTTTTATCTACATAATTTTTGGGTTATCTTATCCTTAATTTTTTAAATAATAAAAAATAATAATTAAATAAATTTAAGACTTAAATTTAAAATATTAAAAAATTAAAAATTAAATATAATATTAACTAATTTAATAAATATTAATCATTTTTAAATATAGAAATAGGAAGTGTCTGAATTCAACATATGAATTTTTGTTTATATTATTATTATTATTATTATTATTATTATTATTATTATTATTATTATTATTATTATTATTTATACCTATTATAAAGGAAATAAGTTTTGATAATCAACCTTTTAATTTTTATTTTTGTATTGGATATTATTATTTTTAAATTTATCAATTATCTTTTTTCAAAATTCTTTTAAAAATAAATATATAAAGACCCAAGGTATCTCTTTCTCTATTAATTATTATAAAACTTGATGACAGTGTAATTTATTTTATTTTTATAATATTAAATTCAGGATAGTCTCTCATTTTATTTTTATTTAATCTTAGATATATTTAATTTTTCATTAATTTTTTATTTAATTGTTGCACTCAATTTAAATCTTTTCTCAAATAATTAACATATAATCTTAATCTTAATCATAATAAATATAGGATAGTCATTTTAAATCTCTCATTTTTTTTTGTCGTCTAATGTTAGACATAATTAAATTTTAATTCTATATAAATGTGTGTGATAATCTAAAATGCTAATATTTAATTATATATAAGATGTTTTTATACATAATTAAATATTAATATTATAATTTTTTTTGTACTTAAGATAAATATAATTTAAATTTACAAAACAAATATAAGTAATATTTTAAATTTACAATAAATAATTTATATTATAATATTAAATTATTAATAATTTTAAATATTAAATTTAATTTAAAATTAAAAAATTAAAAGAGGTATGATTGAAAATTTATTAAAATATAATTATTGAAAAAATCAACTAAAAAAAATTTTAGAAACACTTTTTTTTTGGATATGTTTATTTTAATTTATATGCTATATATGGAGAAGGTGAAAAGTGCAACAAAGATAATAATTACTTGGGAATTGCTATGGTACCCATGAAAATTGAAGGGTTTTGGTACATCAAATTATGTGAATAAATAAATTTTAAAAAATAAATTCAAAATAACATAAATTTTAGATTAAAAATTTGTATAAGATGAATCAATCTTAAAGACTAATTCAAAAAAAAATAATCAAAAGATCAATTTTCATAAATTTGTTTGTTTATATATGACAAAATTAAAAAATTAAAAATAAAAATTATAATAATATTATAAAAACATTAAAATAAAAAAAATAAATAATACAACTGAAAAATTAATTTATACTATAAATTCAAAAAAATTATCATTAAAGAAAAACTAAAACATATTAACAAAATATTAATATTAAACTTTTTAATTACAATAGATGCTACATTAAGATATAAATTAAAAAATATAAAAATAATATAAAGATATAAAAAAAAATTATACAGATAAATCATTAAAAATATTAAATTAAAATAAAAATAAAACAAGTAAATATAATAAAAAAAATAAAAATAAAATGACTGTTTCGGTACCCTTACAATTACAGCGGGTGCGGTAGAATTTCTGATTACTTTGGTAAACAACTGATAAAGCGGTTTTTACTTTTTACCCTATTTTTTGTTAATAAATTTAATTACTTTCTTTTCATTGCATTTCTGCTACGTTAACTACTTTGGCGTTGCTGACGACAAAGCCTCCGTCGTTCTCTGCCGCTCGCTGCTGTCCGCCGCCATTTCCGGTAAGTTAGTGTTCTTATGATTTCAATTTTAATTTTCAATATTTGTCTTTCACTCTTGAGTATGAGTTTTAAGAATGTTTTTGATAGTGATAAATATACAACAAAAAATTGATATTTTGAAGTTGGAATGGAACATCTCAGTGGATGCAATTTGACCTTAATCTTTGGTCTGTGGTGCTCTTGCTCTACATATCACCGAAATTCCCCCATTTTCGTGACAATTTGGGTTTTCCCAATTGAAATTGCTTGTCCTTAGGGTTTGGTTTGATTTCGGAAAGAAATGGAGTTTGTTAACCGAGTAGTGGACGTAGCTAAGAGAGCTGCAAACAACAACACAGTGATCAACGTTTGTCTAATGGCTTCGTTTGGAATACTTTGTGTAAGATCTCTGAATCAGCAAAATACCATTGAGGCTCTTGAGGCTGAGAAGGAATCTCTCACCAAATCCAACAAGTCCATCAGAAAGACCATGTGGGACTGGAAACAGCAGCTTTATGCTGAAGCCTCCACTGATTCTGCTGTGGTTCCTCTCGCAAGGCTCCAAGCCATATACGGGGAAGCCCCACCTCCTCAACGTGCCACTTTTGGTAATTCATTTCTATCTCTTCCCCTGCTGTAGACTCTAGCCATTTAGTGCGAACTGAAATTTGATTTTGTTAATGTAGAAAATGGTTTTGTTTGTGGATTAAAAAGGAAGAGGCGAATTATGCATTGTACAAGTTATTTTCACTATTGGTTGCAGCATATTTGATTAGTACAATCATATTCATGTTCTATACAGTTTTGTGCTAGTTATGCTTTAACTATTGGGAGGACTTTATGCATTTACACTCAAAATGTGCTAAGTCTCCTTCCCTCCCTTTCAAATTCTCCTGAAGTTGGAGGGAATGGAGGTTATAATTAGATGAGGAGGGGTTTTGTTTCCCTCCATTCCACTTCGGTCTTCCCTCTCTTCCTAAAAATTGAAGCAAACAATAAAAGTAATCCCTCCCCTACCCTACCCTTTCTTCAAACCAAACACTATGTTAGGAGGTAATTTTATGTTTGCACTCCAATCCTCTGCGTGTTTTAAGAGTGTCATTGTGCTTATAATGTGATCAATTGCTCAGGAGGGAACTAGTTTCATATTTGCTATTATGCTTATACTCACTCTAGAAAGGGTCTCTGCTTCTAAAAGAAACTCTAGAAAGGGTCTCACTAACAAGTGTCCTAAAGGTAACGGTAAAGAAACATTTAATACACATACATTGTTAGAATCTTTCAATTACTAAGAAGAAGAAAAATATTAAATTGGACAAAACTTAGATATAGTTTGTTAGATGCTTTTGTTAATTAGAGTCACCTTGGTAACTTATGTTGACCTCTAATGAAAACTTTTTCGCACATATTATCAAAGAAAAATTTCAATCTCGATTGGAGAACACACAAAAAAACATCTAAGGAACTACATAAGTTTTGTCCTATTAAATAGTTTTTGTGTTTTCAATATAATAAATATTTTATTTTTCATTAAAAACTTAATAGTTTTGCTTCCTTATAATAAATGGTTAGCATCTCCTTCTAGAAAAGATCTTACATTTGATGAAACAAGGTTCAATTTGGAAAAGGTGAACAAAACCTTCTTCACATTCTCGAAATAAATGTATATCACTATCAAGTGAGGTGATATTATATTACTATTGAAATGCCATGGAGATAATTTGTTGCTTGCTATGGCAATTCCATTTTTTTAAGTTTTGGTTTCATTTTTTTACCCCAATATCCAAGGTATTTTCCAAGGGTAAAAATCCAAGAAGAATGGCTTAGTCCATAATCATTTGGTAAGCAGGATCCTGGACAAAAATGTTTCTTGGTTTTGCTACTTCATAACAAAAACAGAAGAATGCATATTAATTATTATAAAGGTCATTTTGATAAGAATTTGTTTTTTGTCTTTGAATTTATTTTGATTATCTTCTAGATTAGCTTTTCATTTGAAAATTTTTAGTTGATACAGAGATAGTGGTAGGGGGAATAGAGAAAGCAGGACAGGAGGCAAAACATTAGTTGAGTTCAACTGTTAAAAGTTAGTTTTTTGAAAATGAAGTACACAATATTGGCCAATAAATATTTTCAAACAAATTGAAAAAATATGAAAATAAAGAAACCAACAAAATCCAATACAACACTTCTTCCAACCTTGTACACTATCTGTTAGAGAAAACCCCCTGAATTATGAAGTAGTCAATATTACATCATCATGGACAAGCTAAATGAATAAATTTACACATAAATATAACCATTGCATTGTAATAAAAAAGCTAGCATTTATAATTCAAATCAGATTGTGTTTTTCTTGCCAGTTTGACTCCAAAGATGTGGTCTGCATTGTTAATGTTGACAGTCTGATAGCATTAGACACATTTAGTTTTTCTAACATTGTGAATTTCTTTTACATGCCTGTTTCTGTGCATAAACTATTATAACACTGCTATCATGTAAAGCTGTAGTAAAAAATTGATATTTTTTAATGAGTTAGAGATTAATTGCAACAGCTTTTCGATGCACATTAACAACAGCTTGGGTGATTTCTATGCACCACAGCTTTTGCATTACTTCTTGATTTTTGGCCTTTTAAGTTCTTGTTTTGTGTTTTTCCAGGAGACACTGTGAGGAAAGATGCAAATTCACCTGGTGCTGCCCAAATAGTCGTCTGAGATTTTCTTAGTTATCAGAACTTCAAAGTTTGGGGCATTAGAAGGCTGCTAATAAATATTTTCCAATATAACATAGGAAGGTTTAATCCTGTCATAATTTTGTGATTGTGATTGCATGTCAATGTAGAACTTGGCGGAAGTCAAAAAGGTGATAATTTTATCATTGTAAGGACAAAAACACTTTTTTTCTTATATATTTTATCCATCTAACAATTTTGGGTGACAGATGAAAACTAGATACAATTTTGGAAGTTGAGAGGATGCAACCTTCAAATATTGCCATCAAACTGGTCTTGTTGACTTCCATGATGCATATAATGGAAAATTTTTGATGAGCAAAAAACGTTGCTTCCTTTTATTGCCACCTTCACTTTTGTTGAGGCATAACTGTTAGACGACTCCGTTGGTTGAACACGTACGTACAAGCTAATTTTCAGTTGAGCTGGTTTTGCACTTGTGACCAATGACCATTATAATATGAGCTTTTGGTCCATGATTTCGACTCATAAGAGAGTTACAAAAATGCTATTTGGTATCTAAAATCATCATTCGCCTGTGTGGATTCATAGGGTTCCTTAATTACGTTCCATGTTTCCTGCTTCTTTTAAATCAAATTACTCTAATGATATTCTCGAGATTGAAAATTTGTAATGATCGTTAATCAAGTAATGCATTTATTTCAACTTGTCAAGTAACTAGTAATGAACATGAAGAAATGAGTTAATCTAATGGCTTAATATTGATAGGGAACTATCATTCCCAATGAAAACAGAGGCAAGTCCTCTAAATGTCTTTTCTCTGAAGGGGGATTTAGTAGGGATATAGAAACGAATGTTTGATATCAAATCTAATGGAATAATAAGGTTAAGATTGAAAAAATACAAAAGTCATTCAAAGAAAAGTTTATCTGGCGCGTTACACCAAAAGTGGAGGTAGAATTAAGGAATAAATGAGAGAAATAAAGGACGGATCATGCCGTAAGTGATTTATTAGGGATCGTTTAAAATGTAGAATTAGGGATCATGCCATAAGTGATTTGGAAGAGGCAAAACTAATTGATATTCCATCGCTCTATTTTAATGCATATACTGTTTAAAATAGAAGTAACATAACTACTATTTGATTATATAATTTTAATGAGTGGTAAAGATTAACACGAGAGAAGGAAAATGCACTTTTAAATGGTTTCCACGACTCATGAAAAAAACATATATATTCAAATGGATATAATCTTTTTATCAAAGCCTTTCCGTAATTAAAATTTGTGTCTTGATAAGATAATCGAGTGTTAATTTTATGTGATCAATTTTGATTGAAAAATACCATGATAAGGACTTTTGCTAGATTGCTAGTAACTTTTGACACATTCAATTTTGGAGAAAAAGAAAATTAGGTCTCACTATTTCTTGCAATTCCTCGTGCGAGGAATTACTATTAACGTCTTTATAGCTCTTACTCATTGGAGCATCTGGCAATTGGCATTCAAAATATTTTTATATTTCTAAGAATTTTATTTCCAAGGGATTATGTTTTTTATAATCATAATTTTTAGAAATATTATAAATATATTTAGTTTAGTAAGTTTAACATATATGTAACAAAAATTGCTCTATTTTTATAGTAATTTTGGATTTTGACTCCCCATGTGAGAATGTTTTGTATGAAAATATAGTTAAAAACAGAGTGTTTCGTGATGGCCAAGTAACTTTAAATGATAGAGTTCATAGAAAAGTATTATTCTGTAATATATAGGATTCAAAAGTCAATATTGCCCCCACTGTTCATTGTAGAAAGTGGTCATAAGCTGCTTCATACAATGGAAGTGACTAGAAATATCCACTTCCGTTTCCGATTTGTTCTTCACATCCTCTCCCTCACCCTCACCCTAACGCTTGAAAATAAAACCTCTTTATCATCTAATCAACCTACCCTGCTTCAATCATGTCATTCACCACTTCACCTGTTATCACTTGCAAGGTCTTTCTACTAATAACCTTACATTCACACACTACAATATTATTAATGTTTAATCCTGTTATCATAGGCTATAACAATTGCTTTCTCAGATTCTAAGCTCCTCAATTTTAAATCGATTCAATGTATTCATTTATTGTATTTTCTAATAAATTAACACAAATATGTAACTATGATCTTTTTTCTTTTTTTTTTGTTTCAGAAAGACTTGGGTTTCTTTGCTTTTTCTTCATCAACCTCTATAATTAGACAGGAACAGAAATGCAAGAAAACATCATCAAAGAAGATTGTTTCCGTTGTGTCACCCCAGAAGAAACCCCGCCCTTCTGCAACTGGCTCAGTTGTGCTCACTTTCTTTTCTTCCATGTTTTCCATTGATAAGCTCACAAAATGTTAGTGCTAATATTGGTGGGTGTTGCTGCACTGTAGACCAAAATTCCAATGACTGCGACAGAGAAGATTCTGGCTAGAGCTGCAGAGAAAAGTGAGGTGAGTCCGGGGGAAAACGCATGGACAAATGTGGATGTTTTGATGATCAATGATATCACTTGTCCAGGTATATCTGGAATTTTCAAGAAACAGTTCGGCAACACTGCAAAGGTATATCAATATTCTATCACCAAACTTTCTATGGTGCCAAGTTATGCTGACCAGTTAAAGTTAAAGTAAACTTGATACTTCATAGCATTTTTTCTGATTCATATTTTACGATTTTGTGAATTTTGACACCAACTTTGGAATCATATATTTTATTCCTCAACTTTCAAAATTCCATATATTTTATCCCATTGTTAGTTGTTAAACTTCTAATGTAATTAGTTGATAGGTAACGGAACATGTTAACAATCATGTGTCATGTTAACTGTCAACATAATATGTTATGTCATTAATCCATGTCAATAATTAACATGTCATATCAATAATCAATTAACGATATTATACAATTGATTAATGAGATGATAAAATGTGCAAAATTTTAGAAGTTAGGTGACATAATTTGCAAAATTTTGGTGATTTGTTATTATTCTTATTATTTTGATGTTGACCTATTGTTGGGGGTAGCAAGATGTAGTTTACTAATAAGTGAATACATGGTCGTTAGAAAATGTCTGAATTTTCACGTGGTTATAGTTATAAGTAAACTTTTTAATGATATATCACATACGTACTATATGGCATGGAATAAAAATATAAATTTTTTATACTAAAGGTTTGGGATCGTGAAAAGATTGTGGTTATCCCTGATCATTACATATTCACGAATGATGAACGCGCACACCGGAATGTGGATATTGCAAGAGAGTTTTGTGTGGAGCAAGATATCAAGTACTTTTATGATATTCAAGATCGCAGTAACTTCAGGGTACGGTTTCAGAGTTTTCTTAATTATTAACCATCAATAAATAAAGTTTTATTGCGTGAAATAAAGCAGTATCTTGAATAAATATTATAGACCGCATAATAATTTATACATTGCAGGCTAATCCTGATTATAAAGGTGTTTGTCACGTTGCTCTAGCACAGGAGGGTCATTGCAGACCTGGAGAGGTGACTTCTGTTAACAAAACTAAGACATGTTAAAATTTGAAACCTACAGGTCTTAAAGCTGTTCTGATCACTTTATATATGATAACAGGTCTTGTTTGGTACTGATTCTCACACCACATCAGCTGGAGCATTTGGCCAGTTTGCCACAGGAGTTGGTAACACTGATGCAGCTTTTATATTAGGGACAGGGAAGATCTTACTCAAGGCAAGTAAACAAATATCATCATTTTATTATTAAATGAAAAACACTTAGACTTTGTTCATGAAGGTCAAGGCCTTTCAAGATGGATGTTAGACCTTTATATATTCTTTGAATTTATAAAGATATAAGTTTAGAAACGTTTTTGAGAATTTTTCTATCGAAAAATTCTCTTAATTTTTGGTAGAAAAACTCAAAAAAACGCTTCTAACTCATATCCAAATAAACTCTTGGTATTTGTTGTTATCAACCACTGCCAAATGTACTAAATATACTTCAATTACAGGTGCCTCCAACATTAAGATTTATACTGGATGGTGAAATGCCCAGCTATTTGCTTGCAAAGGATCTAATTTTGAATGTGGGTGATGGGTTTCTTTCACATGATTCTCCATTTGAATAAAATGCGGTTAATTAAGATTATGTGACACGAGAATATTATAATTTATAATACTGTTTTCTGTCTGTGCTGTTGCCATTTGAAAACATTGGCCATCATTCAGATCATTGGTGAAATATCCATGTCTGGTGCAACATATAAAACGATGGAGTTTGCTGGGACAACAATTGAGAGTTTAAGTGTATGTATACTTTAATTTTTTTGTTTCCTTTCTCTATGCTGCTATTCGCACAACTATATGACTTTCCGATTGTTGTCTTGTAGATGGAAGAAAGGATGACACTGTGCAACATGGTCGTGGAAGCTGGAGGGAAAAATGGTATTGTTGCTGCTGATAAAACCACATACAAATACCTTGAGGTTGTCGGAGTTGATCAGTGCCCTTAATGTTTTTCCCAATTTCATTGTTTCGCTCCTCTCTTTGGTAGAAAGCATGTACTAATTTTGTATGCATCTGCTTATAAATACACATGCAAGATGCTGAATTTTCAATTAACAAAAAAAGAAAAAAGATGGGCTAGTTCAGTAATTCTTGAAATAAGCTTCTGCGGTACATGTTAGCGTGCGTAATAAGTTTTGCTTTACTTTATAGAGTTTTCACATCTTAATTGTTTCCCCTTTCTCTCGTTGCCGTGGATTTTATACTGTTTAGTTGTTTTGCACAGGATAAGACTTCTGTACCATATGAGCCAGTTTTTAGTGATGATAATGCAAGGCAAGTTCTGTTTGCTCTCCATATATACATATACAAATATAATGTGATTTAAAGATGTCAGCTATTTCTTATTGACCACTAGGGTAAAAGTTTTATAATGGTCTAATAATGAGTTTATATCCGACAAGATGAAATTTCATATTTCATCAAAATATGGCCTGTGATGAGTAATTGGGTGACTTCAAGAGCTAGTTATCTTATATTCTTACTCATGTCTAATAATAAAGACCAGCACATTTTCAGAACAATTCATATATTTCCCCCCTTTGTTTTTTCTTATGTGATTCTTTCGAATTATTTATTTATTTATTTTATTTTGATGTGCTAGATTTCTAGCCAAGTATAGATTTGATGTATCAAAGATGGAACCATTGGTTGCAAAGGTACCTTTACTTTAACTTGATCATATCTTTTAATCTTCATTTTTCCTTAAAAATGTTAAGAATCTTGTATTGTAAAAATTCAGTGTTTGATTACCGATATAATGTAATATGTTTGAACCACCACACAGCCACATTCCCCTGATAATCGTGCTTTGGCAAGAGAATGCAACAATGTGAAAATTGACAGAGTATACATTGGATCATGCACTGGTGGAAAGACTGAAGACTTCATGGCAGCAGCAAAAGTTTTCTTAGCTGGTGTATGTGTACTATAATTTTCTTTTTCATTCACTTTCTTTCTAACATGCAAATTGCATATATTTTATGATGGAAAACCATTAACTTTCTAGATTCTGGTGGGACAAACATGTTATGTTTTCTTCAATATCTATGTTAGACTATAGGCCATATGTAACTTTTGCAAATGAGTTAGTGAACTATAATTCTTTCAACACATAAACGGAAGACATGATGTTTTATAATCAAAGTATGGGAGACAATTTTAAGTATTTGATCTTGGTACAATTTATTCTAGCTTCTTTTGAGACTGCACCGTTATGCAGAATAGTGTGTTTATGGGGTTCTTATTTTTAATTTTTCAGCTCAGTAAACATTAGTTATTGTTCTGTTTTCTCTTTTTTTTTTTAAACCATTTTTTAACATTATGAAACGGGTTCCCCTGCAGGGAAAAACTGTCAAAGTTCCTACTTTTCTTGTTCCTGCTACACAAAAGGTCTGTTAAGGTGCACTATTTTATTCAAGACATGGGATGTGTTCCCTGTTTCATTAAGTGTTAATCACCAACATTGTCATTATTTCCAGGTTTGGATGGACTTATATACACTTGAGGTACCTGGGTCAGGTGGCAAGACTTGTTCAAAGATATTTGAAGAAGCTGGCTGTGATCCTCCTGCAAGTCCTAGTTGTGCTGCATGTATGGGTGGCCCAAGAGACACATATGGACGTTTGAATGAACCCCAGGTAAAACTATTACACTATGTCAGTAAACCAACTTACGCTAACTCTTAATATATTGCTATTGCTTAAAAAAGAAAATCTTAGTTTGTAGCCAAAATATTTGAACCCTTGGAAGCATCATCATGTAAAGATCATTTATTATTTGTTCAGAGCCAATATCATGGAACCTAAAATGTTGTTGGGATTTTAGAATTAACCGACATTAAGAAAAAGTGGAGTTAAATGAGAAGATCAGAACATTTCATGTCCAAGGAGGGACGTATGATATGATATGCCAACAACTTTTGTTATTGTTTTCCTTCTGATGTAAGTGTAACTGATGAAAGGACTCTCAATGTAGGTCTGTGTCTCAACAACAAATCGAAATTTCCCTGGTCGGATGGGACACCTGGAAGGCCAGATATATCTTGCTTCTCCCTATACTGCAGCAGCATCTGCACTAACTGGTTTCGTAACTGATCCCAGAAAGTTTTTATAGATAGACAAGCTACGATGTGTAGACTAGAAAGCAGTTTCTACCTAATTGGAAAAATAAAGTAATAGAGCTCAAACAAATTCTATGCTAGAACCAGAATTATGTGTTGAAAGTCAAGTTGCTACTTATAAATTATCTTGTAAGCGTAGAGCATGTTGTTGTGTTACAACTTTGCGGCATCAATCCACGGTATTTTTACAATTACAACTCTTGGAAAATTGTCGAGATAGATTGCTACGGTTTCTGTTGAAATTCACGCATTACAACAAAAGAATAATACAAAGCAAGCAGATCCAAAAAAACAACCTTGGGAATTAAGCACATCTTATTATAAAGTGTAATTTGAAACAACCAAACAAACAAACTCGTCAATCACCAAGGTAATGCAATAATCAAATACTTACACGAGATTCATTCTATATAAATAAATAAATAAATGTGTGTATTGTATGGGTTTATGTTGCATTGTTGCGTCCCAAGTCCCAACCAATTAATCCATCAAACAATAGGGAAGTGATGCCTTAGAAGCACAAAAAGAAGAGATGAGTAATAAAGAATGAATAAAATTACAGCATTGTCCTTTGCCTCGGTATGTTGCTGTGGTTGAGTTAGGACACACTCAGACGAGGCTGGTATTGCCGCCGGCGGAGGAAGCGCGGCGGCGGAGCTGCTTCTTCTTCTTCTTTCCCTTGGGGTCGCCGCCGCAAACGATGGAGCACTCAACGCCGCAGATATTACTAAAGCAAGAGAACAACCCGCCCCCGCTGCCACCGTCGGTGTGCCTCCGCGAGTGGCGGCTCGATTTAACGCTCGCTTTGGTGCTCGTTTTGGACGACGTCGGAAAGCTTGACAATTCGCCTTGGTCGATCACCGGCGGCAGTTCCGTCCGCCACCTCTCCATCTTCGACTGCAAACCCTCCACGCTCTCCGCCAGGCTCCACCCTCCCACCGTCGAGTCCTCCCCGTCGTCGATCACCGGATTCCTCGCGATCGCCGCCGCCACCTCCGACGGCGACGGCCCCAGCTCCGACTCCGTCATCATCACCGGCCCCATGTTCCCCAGGTTCGACCTCCGCGGCGTCATGTACTCGAACCCGCCGCTCCCCTTCGCCAGCGGATGCAACGGCGTCCCCCTCCGCGACCCGCCGTATCCCACCGCCGGGTGGAACTTCGACACCGCCGGCGAGCTCCGAAACTGCGCCACCGCCGGCGACGCCATGTACTGCGGCTTCGGAGAATTCTTGAACTGCGGCTTCGGAGAAGCCATGTACTGCGGCATTGGCGAATTCTTAAACTGCGGCTTCGGCGAGTTCAGAAACTGCGGCTTCGGAGAATTCCTAAACTGCGGCGCCGGAGAAGCCATGTACTGCGGCGCCGGCGAGTTTTTAAATTGAGGCTTGGGAGAAGGCATATACTGCGGCGCCGGCGAACTCTTATACTTGGGCGCGGGCGAAGGCATGAACTGCGGCGCCGGAGAATTCCTGAACTTGGGTGCCGGAGAGTTTAGAAAGTGTGGCTTGGGAGAAGCCATATACTGCGGCGCCGGAGAGTTTCGGTAATGCGGTTGGGGCGAGGCGCGAACTTGGTAATGAAAATTGTTAACAGGAATGTGTTGGTGTTGTTGTTCTTGTTCTTGATAGTGTTCCTGAACGTGATTTGCTTCGGTTGGGTAGGTGTGGGGATCATCCTCATAATAATTATGAAAAACCTCTTGAACGACGTCGTTGTTGGTGTAATGCGACAGCGGTGGATCGATGTGGAGAATGTCATCGGGATTGGGGCTTGCTTTTCCGCTTTTAACCTTCCAAGGCAAAACGGTGTCGCTGAGGACGGAGCTGTTTTCCTTTCCGGTGCCGGTGCTGATAACGGAGTTGGATTTCTTGGTCTTGCCTTTGACGCTGAGTTGGGAGGCGGAGTTGGGTTTGTCCTTGTCGGCGAGGGGTCGTGGGGCAAGCATGGAGCTGGTGTCGCTCTTGGTGCGGCGGAGGTCGGGCTTGGGGGAGGGGAAGAGGTGGTTGTGGGTGTGGTAGGCGTCCTTCTCTCCCATGAGGTGGCGGTAGCCGAGGGCGGAGGCGTTGTGGTTGTAGAGCGGCATGCTGCGCATGGAGGTGTCGAGGAGGCTGAAGGCGATGTTGAGGATCCCCTGGGGGCGGCCGGAGGGGCGGCGGACCTGGAGGGCGACGAAGCGCATGGCGAGGGGGGCGCGGTGGTTGGGATCGGCGGGGGGAGGGAGGAGGTTGGCGAGGAGGACGCGGACGGTCCCCACGTGGATGTCTTTGAACCAATGGAGGGCGTAGATGTGGATGGTGATGGCGGAGGTGTCGGAGTAGAGGAACTCCTCGTCCACGCGGAATACGAACTTGTCGTTCCACGTGGGCTGCGTCTGCCCCTGCGTGTCCACGCGCGTGGATAGCTTCCTGTCCGGGTGGAGCCATGAGACCGCGTAGGCCCTCATGTTCCGGCCCACTGGGGCCAGGTCCTGGGCCGATATGACATTCAGCTCCAGCAATTGGAAGGGAGGGGACATTCTGTCTCTTATTTGAGTTTGTAGGATTGGATGTATGTTTTGTAGAGCTTATCCACGGTTTTGGAGCGCTTTAGGGTTTTGGTGTTCCAGGAGAATGGGAAGGTGAAGAAGCTGCGCTTTCGGGGGCGGGCTGGTGGCGGGGTGGCACTCGCGCTCGTCCACGGAGAGGACGACGAGGCAGGGCGAGGTGACATGAACGGTAACCCCAACCACACCCCAAAACCTACACTCTCCCCCATCCCATCCATTTGTTTTCTACCCTTGCTTCTCACCGCTCTTTTCGCCCCACTCTCTATCATTGCATATATACCCTTTTTTTAGAATAACAAATAACCAATTACCAATTACCAATTACCAATTACCAATACTCATCCACGTACATTTATTTTTTTGACAAATGAATATAGTTGTGACTGAACCCCACGTTTATTTATTATTGGCGGTGTGCAGACTACAAGGAATAGCTTCTTTAATTGGAGTACTTTCATGTGATGCTTCTTCAACACTCACGTTCATCTCGCTGCTTTTGACCTTGTTTCACATAACTCGAGATCCAAAACTAAAATTACTTTCCTTTCACTACATTTTTGTCCTTCTATTATCTTTATTTATAAGTGATTTTCCTTTTCTTTATTTTAACTCTTTATATTGTTAAAATTAAGATTCTAACCCCCAAATTTTGTCAATCAATTAACAGAAATGTAGTATTGATTTGTATTAATTTATAAATGAACAAGTATATAAGATTTGCTAATTTATACAAATAAATGACGGGACACATATTTGTTACATTTTAATTATTTAATGGACAAAATTTTGGCATGAAAAGCTTAATTTAGCGTAAACGATAAATCTCGATAGTTAGCGGTGACTTTGAATGGATGGATAATGTATTTTTTTACACTAATAATAATTACTATTGTTGTTGTTTTATTAACCGTCGCCTTCGACTTGGATTTGGATCTACGTCAGTTAAAGCAAGATAATTGAAAAGCTTGGACGAGAATGCTGATTAACTAGAAACACTCGTTTTCTCAATAACGTAGTCTCTTACCATATTATTGCTAGCAATATCTAACATTGACCTTGCTTTTTAAGCACTGCTCTTCATTATTCTACTTCTCAACTTTTAACAACTCTTGTAATTGTAGCAACTTCGCTATTCGCATATCTTGTTGCTTTGCAAGCTCCATGGACGACTTGCATAGTCCCAAGTCACAGATGGAGGATGACTTTGAGTCAACTTTGCATTCAGCTCCATCATTTTCAATATACAACAACCCTCATGGAGGTGGTGACATGGAAGAAGTTTTGAAGAAAACTCTTCCGAATGGACAGAGTTTGGAAGCCACAGGAAGTGGTGAGTTCAGCTTTGAGAGGAACAAGATGGATTTGATTGAGGAAAGAGAGCATGAGAATGAGAATGATTGGTCAAGTGGGATCCACAAATTGAGTATTGAAGAGGAAGAAGATGCTGAACCAGCTAGTCCCCCCATGTATCTGGCATCAGGGCTTGGAGTTGAGGGTGTGCTAGGATCTGATAAACTTATCAGTGATGATATGTTTAATCCCAACTTGCATGATAGTGAGGATCTTGAAGGGTATTACAAGAGGATGGTTGATGAGTATCCCTGCCACCCTTTGATTCTCAAAAAGTATGCACAGCTTTTACAAGTGAGTCTTCTGTCATGAAACTCATTGTAAACATTGTACATTTCGGTTTAGTTTGTGTGTTCTTCGATTCAGAAAGAGACATCAATTTTGATTCAGAAACTAATAGATTCAGGTGATAGTTTTGGATTGAACGTATCATATTTGTGATAAATCCCAAGAGGGTAACTCTTCTTTTAAAAATAATTGATACAAGAGTTGATTATGTTTCTAGGAGACATGCATGGTTGACAAATGAAATGAAACTTTTTTTAATCATCGTCCTTTAGTTTCTTAGAGACAAGCATGATAGTCATATAGTTCTTCTCAGATGCTGACATCTAATTTTTTTATATCTGCTGAATACTGATAGTCTAATGGAGACCTTCAAGGGGCTGAGGAGTACTTTCTTCGGGCTACGTTGGCGGATCCTAATGATGGCGAAATCTTGATGCAGTATGCGAAGCTGGTGTGGGAGAACCATCATGACAAGGATAGAGCATTGGTCTATTTTGAACGTGCAGTTGAAGCTGCACCTCAAGACAGGTAGATAACCCACGCAGACAAATATGCCATAGCCATTTTTTTAAAAGCTTAAAATATCATCAGTTACTGCTGGCCTAGAAGTTGCTCTTCAATTTCAACCTCATTGTAATCTGAAGAAACTGAAAGCTTCTATTTACGCTAGCAAAATATTGAGCTTTCCATGACTAAAAGATAACGTTAAACATGTAATGTATCTATCATTTTCAGCCCTGTCCTTGCAGCATATGCTAGTTTTCTCTGGAAAATTGAAGATGATGAGAATGAAGATGGAGAACATGAAATTCAGGTGCTTTTTTCCTCTGTTCTTTTCTTTTCCTAGGGGTCTTCCAAATGGAACAAGTTGGTTATTTAATACTCAGTTTATAATTGAGCGCAGAATGACATGGAAAAACAAAAGACTGAAACTGTGAAGACCTCCATAGAAGAAAGTCATACAATTAGCCAACTCTCAGTCCTTGCAGCTGGACAAGAGGTTGATGCAGCACATATTACGACATCTGATTGTGGTGAACAAAGTAATGTTGAAGATTATTTTAAGAAGATGCTTGATGAAAATCCAAACAATCCTTTGTTTCTGAAAAAGTATGCTCAGTTTCTGTTACAGGTGAGGCTTTTCTATTCTTATTTTAATGTTCACAGTCACACACATCTTTCAGGAATTATGTTAGGAATGATTAAACACCAAGTGATGCTTCTATATCTAAATTTTTTATATGTACCTACAACACATGAAAGCTTCTTAAGGTGTCTTATAGTTTGACTGATGAAAGTTTTTTTACCATTGTTTTTCTGTTCTTTTTATGCTAAAACATTTTTGTTTTTTATTTGCTGGGAGGGAAATCCTTAGACAGAATACTCATTTATGACTTTAATCAACCTGCCTCTTACTGGGCACTGGGCAGTTATCAACAGTTGGACCAAATAACAATTGAGGCATTAACAAAGATTAGTTGGTGGAGCCTCTTTTGGTTTAAAATGAAATTTTCAACGAGCACGGGGCTTTGCAGTTTGCACTATAGCCCCTTTATATAAATCATAACTACCATAATAGAATTATGCATCTCCGACACGTGGTAAGCATGAGAATTCACTTGATTGTAAACTTGTTATTACTTGGTTTTTGCCTATAGTTAGAGAATTCTGAGTCTTATAAAATTACATTCCTCTTCTCCCTTCTCCACTTTGAATGTATAGTCCAAGAGAGATCTTCAAGCAGCAGAGGATTACTACTCACGGGCAATAGTAGCTGATCCCAGTGACGGTGAAATGATATCAGAATATGCTAAGCTAGTTTGGGAACTTCATCGTGATCAGGAAAAGGCTTCGTTTTTATTTGAGCAAGCAGTTCAAGCTACCCCTGGGGATAGGTAAAATTTTGGAGAAACATTTTTAATGATATATAAAATAGTAAATTACATAGACATCTCTATGAGGTTTCGTGAAATTGTACACACTCCCTACTTTTTCTACCGCTACACTAACTCTCCTTAATTGTTTGAAAAATATTGCATTGACATCTCTTAAACATTACATTAACTCCCATAATTGTTTGAAAATATTACATTGTGAGCCTCTATAAGGGATTTTGCTGTAAATATTAAAAAAGCAAGAGGTTATAAGTACAATCTCATGAAATCTTAGAGTGTCAATATAATTTACTCTATATAAAATCTTTTATTACTTCACAATTCACGTCTGTATAATGCTCAAAAATAGGAGAGATAAATTCATAGCTGACTAGTCCTTGATTTAAAGTAAATCCAACTTTGAAAGAATTGTTGAATCATCTTTTCTAACTAGTGTGCAATGCACAGTATACGTGAGCCCATGTCCTTGAGCCCTTAATTTTGAATCCGTATAGAATAAATAACCTTCTGTAAGTAATTAAGATGCAATTGTTTACATTACAAATTCTCTGGTTTCAGCAATGTTCTTGCTGCATATACCTGCTTTCTCTGGGAAACAGACGATGGGGAAAGCTGAAATTTAAAGGCAAGTTCACGTTCAAGAGATCTTCTGCAGGAAAATGCCATGACTGTTACAAATTTACAAGACAGGTTGCCAGAGCAGGTGTCAATAAATGCTCGTAGTTTCAGGTGAATAAAGAAAACCATACAACAATCAACACAGAGAAGCGGCAAGTTTAACTCATCTAGAATAAAGAAAAATCATATTTCTTTACTAATTGCAATTTTTGCCGAACTTTTCATTTTTTTAGAATAACATGTATCTAACTTGCAGCAGGACAAGAATAGTTTACACGAAATGATTCATGGTAATGTTAAAAGCTCAACTAATTAGAGATATCCCTTTCACAAATCAGTGGTGCAGTCATTGGGAGTATTCTCTGTCTAGTTGATGGGCCTTATTCTAGTTTGGTTGGTACTACTATTAGCCTGTTTGTTTAAAAAAAAAAATGAATTTAAAAAAAAAAAATGAATTTCAAAGTTCCGATCAACGGTAAAACTATCTTAGCTTTTGTTAAACGTAATGGCAAAGCTTATGTCCAGGTAAAGTCCAAAATTTACTGGCTGAACATTGGGTTGTATAAATAGGATCATTACAAGTCAACACGAGATAACAATTCTTTAACACTTGTTTCTGATTTTCTGAACATTTACTGCATTCAGTCAAAATTCATCACGGATCTACATTCAACAACATGAGCACAATAAAGGAAACAAGGACACGATTAACACAAGTATGCTCTACCCCTTTTTGTAGGGATAAGAGTATTCAACAACATGAGCACAATAAAGGAAACAAGGACACCATTAACACAAGTATGCTCTACCCCTTTTTGTAGGGATAAGAGTACGTTTCTTATAAAATAACATTAAAAAGCAACTTCCACACCTACCAAGCTACAAAGCTGATCTGCTAGTTGGTATTGGATTAACTTGTTATATGCTATAATTGGCAAATAATTTTATCCTTAAGCATATATTCAAGAGTTTGATTCTCAAGTTTATATGTATCACAAAACATTTGATAAGAGAGATTATACTCTTAAATATATTTCAGTACTTTGCGAAATTAATCATAACTTTCGGCCAGGAATATCATTGTTAACCAAAAACAAAATATCACGTATTGTATTGAGATGGAGTTGTAGATACTGAATTATCTCAATAATAACATGTGTATCACGTGTCAAACTGAATTCTTTGAATAAAAAGTGATTACATGTATATCTATATTATTAATCTATATTATTATTAAAGGGTTTGTTTTATTTAGTGTTCATATTTTTAGACAATTTTATCTTTATAATTATCTTTTTACAGATTACAAATTATTTTATTTTATTTAAGTTTTACTTTATAATTGACTGTAATTTTGATAATCATTTACTGTTATATAATTTTTATTATTTACCATTTCAAAAATAATTTGTAAAAATAAAAAGTATCTTTTGTACGTTATATAATTCATGTTATATAATTCATATAAAACTTACATAAAGTCTACAAAATGTTTATATGATAACAATAAAAGTTAGTGGTTACATCGATTACACAACGTGATTTGTGATTTAACTAGGTAAAAGACCAAAGTTTTAGACATTTTACTAGGAGATCTATCTCGAAAACTTCTTCTATTTTTTGGATCTCCCTCTCACAAAACCTAAAAACCATGTGATTTATTGTTTTTACTAATGTCTCATACCTTAATATTCTCATTTCTACTGCTCCCTCCTTTTTCTTTTATTGTCTCTTTAAAATCGGACATACAATATGATTAAAAAAAATCAACTTTATAATCATTAATAACCCTCAAAATTTCCTCCATTTTAACAACCCCGCTTCTATCGAAATTCTCGTTAATTTCTTCATTATTTTATAATATTGACTCTAAAATTTTATATTGAGAAACCTATGATATCATATCTCCCATTTCTACAAAAGTTTGTGAAATTAAAAAAATTAAAACTTCATTGCACTTTATTTTAATGATATAATATTTAAAATTATTAGAGTATATATTTTGATATTGATAGTTTAATCACACACACACATATATATATATATATA